GACTTTGATTTGGCCACTCCAAAACCTTAATTTAGTTTTTCTTGAGCCATTCATCTGAAATCAGAGTACACATGTCACAGTTATCATGACTTAGTAGCTTTGGCTTTGTCATACAGTGACATTTTATTACAATTCATATTTTGGAGCTGCTCCTAGAATGTGAACTTCAGTCTCTCATGAGCCAAAACTGTCAAACCAGTTGACTGCATGTTTAAGTGTAATGGTCCGGACCATTACACTTAAGCCATTCATTCATACTTGCTGGTATGTTTGGGAGGTCACAAACATCAGGAAGGGGGCCAACACTTTTTCACACCACTGTATATATATATTCATTCTAATAACATGTTTGTTTACTTTTGCAGCATAAAAATGTTGGGTCACCACTTGATGAACATACACTTACACATACACACAACACGTGTGTGTGTGTGTGTATGTGTGTGTGTGTGTGTGTGTGTGTGTGCATGAGTTAAATTACCAAATAATTTAAATAATAAAAAATAATAATAATACAAAAAAAATGATATTATTATTACTGTAAATGATTATATTATATTATATATTACATTATGGGCGATTATACTTACCTTAACTCTTGATTTTTATTTTTTTTTATGTTCAAGAACATGTTATTTGACAACTATTCAACTGTTTTTCAATAACACACAGCAAAAAGCAACTTTATAGCAACTACTTTGTTGTTGTTTTGGCTGCTGCTTGTCATGCAGCAGATACGGATCAAATTGATGTGAAAATTGAATTTGTGTGCCACACACAAGAGGGAAACACATAATGTACTGGAATGACAAGAACCGTACAGAAAGTTTCAGAGGGGAAGCCTTTTCTATGGAAAGTGGGTCCCGTGAAAAGGAACAGGCCAGGATTTCAATCTGTCACCCCGGCAACATGGGCTCTAAACAATCCCTTCACTTTTGTAGCAAAAATACCCCAACGAGAAAAAGAGGTCCAGTGTTCTCCACACGTCTATGGGTGAGATTAGAGAAAGCTGAATTAGCTTTAATGGTCACATAACCCAGTGAATCATCTTAACTGGATGAATGCCATGATCGCACACAAGGCCAAAAAATGAAAGCACAGCCAGTCAAGTTATTACGTTCTATAAATTTGTTGGTAGTTTGCCACGTTTAAGACTCAATTTCAGGCTGTTGGGAGCAGCCCATGTTAGACGATAAATGAGTCACACGAGCATGATGTGGACTTTGGCATCGAGTGCCCTGAAAATGAGACCCGAATCCTGCAAACAAACGGTTGCCATGACAACTAGCCAGTCAACCTTGGATTGTGGAGAAGGTCAAGGCTGTTGTCGAGAGTCAGAATGTGCAGAATCCAGTTAGAGGAAAAGTTTTGCAATGTGAATTCACCCCATACACTACACAAATATTTTTCTTAATTAATATTTTGTTATGCTTTCTATTAAAAATGTCCTGAAAACAAAATAAATTTACTCAAGAAGAATCTATATATCTATCTATCTATTTAGTGAAAAATTCATTAAAGTAAACAAATTATTCTCTTTTTCTCATATCTGAGTTGCTTTTTCAGTTGTGAACCACTGTTATTTTTAATGAACGATTAAGTTCAATGTCACTCAAAAAACACAAAAAGACACTTGTCGCAACACATTGAACAAATCAAAAAATGAATCAGTGAACAAACCAACCCCAGTGAAAAATATACTAAATTATATTTGAAATACATTTATTTCATGCTAAGTATACTACAAATTAGGGCTGTGCAATTAATCTAAAAACAGTTTCGATTTTGATTTTAGCCTCCAACGATTATGAAAATACAATAATCGAGATAAAACAATTATTGCGCCCCATTCCACCCCCTTTCCAGCGCTGCGCTTTCGCTATTCCATAAAAGCTCAATTTCAAGTGCAAATCAGTAAAATCATGTAACGTGACTTTTGCAAAATGGGATGTGCTTGATTTATATAAGTATATTACATTTATTCATGTTTTTAAAAGTGTGAAAGAGAACTTGAGCAGAACACGGACATGTAAAGTCATCTTTTAGCTCAAGGTGTGCCCCTAAATGGTCAAATACATGCAAAATTGTGTTAAAATGCGGCGCTTAGCGATTATTCATGTATACCTTCGTCGCTCATTTAATAAATGAACGTAAAGAGTTGAGAATGAAAATACATGTGTAACGGTAAATTGGATCCGTGCTGCTCTTAAAGTGACAGCGGGCTATATTCCTGCTGCGACTGTGTGCTTAATATTAATCAAACAACAAAAGACCAATTCAAAATCACATACTGCTCTTAAGTGAAGGATTTTTGTAGCTTTAATAAGAAACAAAGAACATTTAATTCTTACAGTGAAGACTATGCTGTTTTATTTTATATTTGATTACTCATTTCTGAAGTAGGCTGTTAACTGCTTGAGACTTGAGACTCATTTTAATACTCTCCTCCCATAAATTTTGCGTCTGAAAGGGAAACTCCTACAAATGCATATTCAATAAGGTCAGGCGCAAAAATAACTGTGTCCATGTTTTTTCAGCGCTAATTCTTCACTGCGTGTCTTTAGTAAATCCTGACAGTACTATTGGTTTGCCCTGGTGCAAGCTGTTAGTAAATCTGGCCCTTAAAGGGTAACTCCACCCCAAAATGAACATTTTGTCATTAATCACTTACCCCCATGTCGTTCCAAACCCGTAAAAGTTTCGTTCGTCTTCGAAACATAATTTAAGGTATTTTGGATGAAAACCGGGAGGCTTGTGACTGTCCCATTGATTGCAAAGTAATTAACACTGTTAAAGGGGTCATATGATGCTGCTAAAAAGAACATTATTTTGTGTATTTGGTGTAATGAAATGTGTTTATGCGGTTTAAAGTTCAAAAAACACATTATTTTCCACATACTGTACATTATTGTTTCTCCTCTATGCCCTGCCCTTTGAACATTTGGGCGGCGTTATGCAAATCTTCCCACATAGTGAGGTAGATATGTGGGGGCGTGTTAGAACGAGCCGCTTTAGGTAGGTGTGGCTGACTCTGAACTTTTATAAAGAATATCTCTTTGGATTTGAGACTTTAGTCTTTGCAACTTTACAGATCTTCTTTATGCACCAAGAGCTTGTAACACTCCAAAGAGAAAGGAAAACTTGAAATCGCATCATATAACCCCTTTAAGGCCCAGAAAAGTATGAAAGACATCGTCAAAATAGTCCGTGAACTCATGAACGCACTTGCAGGAAGTGTCACGGAGGAGAAGAAAAAGTTGAATAAAGTCGATATTTTGTTTTCTTTCTGCACAAAAAGTGTTCTCGTCACTTCATAAAATTCAGATTGAACCACTGATGGCAGATGGACTATTTTGACAATGTCTTTCATACTTTTCTGGGCCTTGACAGTGTTAATTACTTTGCAGTCAATGGGACAGTCACAAGCCTCCCGGTTTTCATCCAAAATATCTTTAATTGTGTTCCGAAGACGAATGAAGCTTTTACGGGTTTGGAACGACATGGGGGTAAGTGATTAATGACAACATTTTCATTTTGTGGTGGAGTAACCCCTTAAAGTCTGCTAAATTGGAACAACAAATGTTGTACTTAATACACTTTAATTGTGCAAAAGTAGTGCTGAAGTTCAAATAAAGATATACTGAAGTATATTTGATTGTGCTAAAGTGAAACTATTGCAAGTATACTTCAGGTGCACTTTAAAAATCTTGCATTTAAAGACCGATATTATTCAAAGATCATACAATCCTCATCAATAGTGACATTTTAGGCCTAATATTAAAATATCTGCTTTGTGTACAAGTAGTATTTCAAATAAAGTTTAATTATAATTTTTATATCAGTCTCGAGTGATAACAGATTTGAAATATACTTAGTATGAAATAAATGTATTTTAAATATATAATTTTTTACTAGTGAATGAATGGATCCATGAACAAATCAGTAAAAATATTGGAACAAGTATTTTTTTGGTGAACAAATTGTTCACTGAAATATCTTCTTTTGTGTGATTGCTTTTTTGGAGTAATGAACAACTGTTATTTTTTAATGAATTGTTGAGTTAATTATTCAATGACTCACTCAAAACACACACAGATAAATACTTATCAATCCTTAAAGCCATAAAACTAGTCAGTGAACAAATCACTGAATGAATCTAAATCAGAAAACAAATCTTTTGGGTGAACAGATGCAAAAAAAAAGTGACTGAGATCAATTAAAATCTAAAATTAAAAGTCTATTTCCCTTTTCCCATAGGCAAATTGTATTTTTGACATTGTTGCTGTTGTTTTAAAGTATACAAACCTCACAAGAGTTTCTTTGATTTATGCTTAAAACATCCCAGTTGACACTTTTGAGATGAGTTAACATGACACATACACAAAAAGACAACTTTGACAGAGATACAGTGTCAAAGAGACCAAAAGAAATCAGACAGACACACAGGAAAAGAAGAGAGGAAATAAAAAAAACAATGACATAAACAGCAGCTATCATACCATGATGCATGAATCCATTGTCACACAGCTCCACCCCCAAGATCAGCGCCTCTTCTCTGCTTCGGCAGTCACCCTTCATAAGAGAAAGAGACAAGTGCCACTCTCATTGTCTGCACCCTCCTTTGAGCTACAGAAAAGCACATTTAATTCACACAAACACCACTGTGGTCCGATCACCACTGTGTGACAACTCTGAAGGGTCACTTGTCCTCCTGGTAATAATTTCATAGTCAAACACAATACATCATCTTTAACACTCATTAACTGTGAAAGTTGCCTCTAAATATCCGAACCACACTTCAAACGTAATCAAAATCTGTATTCTAATGATGACTAGTCTATTTTAACATAGACAGAATTTGACTATGTGGCTAGACGCTGGTTTATTGTTACAGTTCTCTTCCGTCTCAGCATATTTGAGATTATCCGGCCTGTTTAGGAAATAGCTACCACTTTTGCTCCATTCTTTCCTCTTGTCTCATTTCCTATGGAGGTCAATGTGTTTCTAATCTGTCTATAAAGCTGTATCATAATACAGAACATTCAGACTCAAATCTTACCTGTGCTATCAGCCAGTCTATCAGCTTGTTGGCCATCACCACCGATTTATACGTTCGTAGATGATAATCCTTATCCCTGTTTGGAAAACAAGGAACATTTGACTTAAAAATGTCTCCTCTTTACAGTAGCCTCAAGAGACACACATTTCAAGCTAAACTTTAACCTTTGCCCTGACTTGCATCTGCCTGAAAAGCTCTTGAGAGAGCTGTTCTGGGCTTTTACGTCACAACAACCCTTTCCTCTCGATTTTTTGAGGCCCAAACAAGTTCTTTACCTTGAATTTTCTTTAGGGTTGCACAGGGGTCATAATGTTTGACCGAATAAGGACCCTCTGCACATATTTTGCTCTTGCTGGCCACGCTAAATGACACAAAGTTGATCTGGAAAGCTAAAAGTGGATTTTTTTTATCAATGCAAAGTGGAGATGTTCAGTGAGAGAAAATGTCAATGAATCACGACAGCCAACTAATTAACTAGTCAGTTTTTTTCTTACATTTTTTTTTTAGTTTTGACATTTTTAGCAGTGGTGCTTTGATTAGCATGCTGACAATGTGCAAATTACTGTTTACATGATCAAAGTAAACTCACTTCAATACTTTAATCATTACCAAAGTCTTTCTCTTTGGCTTTGCACGATTTTTTTTTTTCAATTGTGGACACCTGTTTTTTTTTTTTTTTGGGGGGGGAAAATGTGATTTTTAATAAATCATTGAGCTAATGTCTCATTTAAAAAGGCACTTGTCATCATATAAAGCCACTGAATAAATCAGTGAACGAATCTGTGAATTAATCAGAACAAATTTGTTCAATCGTCAATAGCTTATTTTTAATGAATCGAGGTAATGATTCATTGTTTCACTCAAAAAACACTTGTTGCCACCTAAAGTCATTAAACAAACCAATGAACAAATCACCAAAAGACACTTGTCACCACCTAAAGCCACTGAATGAATCTGTGAATGAACTCATGAACAAATCAGTGAATTAATCCATGAATAACTGTTATTTTTAATGAATCATTGAGTTTAAAAAACATTGAATTTAATGGCACACTCCAAACACACACACAAAACAAAAAAAAACTTGTCACCACCTAAAGCCACTGAATTAATCAGTGAAAAAAATCCATGAACAAACCACTAAATGAATCTGAACAAATCTCTTTTTTTTCAGTTGTGAGCTACTTATTTTCAAGTGCAAGTTTCAAGAGTTAATGATTCATTATTTGCTAAACAGAACATCCTGGTTGTCACTTTTGGGATGTGTGAAGACATGAAAGAATGGAAAAAATACAACTTTAAACATGGTTGGATTAGCCCTCTGACAGTGTGCAAATGACAGGTTTACGCAATTAAACCATTCTGGAAAAGTAACAGCAGAACACACTGCTACAGCCATAACCATTCAGATGGGTCTCTTTGGCCACTGCATTGCATCTCACGCTGTTTCTTAAGTGTCTAGCCACTGGTATTGTGTATTTAAGATGGTGTGTCAATTTAAAAAAATGTCATTTTTAAAAAACACGTTTCAAGACCCCATATGATTCTTAGCTCCAGCAGAGGTCAGCAGGTGTCTCAGCTCAGTTTGGTCCAGCTCCAGGGCCTGGAATGGGTCAAATGGATGCTTTGTGGCTGCTTCCAGACCACAGGAAATGAAATGGAGCAAAGATTTTCCCATGAAGCCAAGGGTCTCTTGTGGGACACTCACTGCGCTAGGTCAGAGGGCTAAGCAAGGGCCCACACCCTACAACTCACACACACACACACTCAACTCCAAACTTAGCTGTTCGCAATTCAGAGAATTCTAAAGAGAAACATCCCCATTACATTTTTACACAACCAAACACCTCGATGACAGGAAATGTGCCTTTTCTCTCAAAGGAATCCTCTCTCGACATGCATCTCAAGTGTGTGTGATGGTTTCTGTTCGATTATATAAGGATTTGTTTTAATCACAGACCAGAAGTGTGATTCTGGACAGGCCTTGCCATGATTTAACCGCTACAGACATGGAGCCAGCCCTTTCCTCTGTAGCTGTACCCAGAACTGTCAGCGTGAAAAATGAGGGTAAACAGCGTTACCACAGGCAGTCATATGCCTGGCACAAGAGTACTGCAATCTGTAGGACAAGTGTGTGCAAAGTCAACCAAACCTTTCAAATCCTCCTCAGTCTCCTGATTTTGGGCATTTGGTCATTTTTAAACACTCTTAGATATTGACTTTCTTTTTGTTCTACTTCTCACTGTTACACAGTATGTCAGGAATGTTACTCATCCTGGATTTTGGGGCGCAGAAGAGCTGAATGTTTTTTTTTTATGTGGGTAAGGCGGGGGTGAGAAAGCCCTCCAGAGCCTCTCTAACCAGCAGGAAATACCAGATAATTAAACTAGAACTGGATTCTCCAATTATAGCTTTGCAAGGAAGGGATCCTCAGTACAGGGTACAGAAATGTGAGAATATATGGATTCTTAAGACCTACTTAAAAATACTTAAGTTTCTCAAGGGGATGTCAGTAAAAATAAATTTGCATGGCGTCTTCGTGATAAAACTCATGCATTCTGATGACGATTTGTTCATGGTGGAGGAGGCGAGTTCCTACGAACATGGGAACATGCTGCTCATGTGGCCAGTCACATGATTGTCAGCTGTAAACAAAATGTCTGTTACTGCTTGGACAATTAATAAATCATACTTAATTTAATTATAGAAAAATAATATCCTTTTTCTTATTTTATTACTTTAACATCATATAAAAAATAGGAAAATTGACATGCTATGGTTTAAATTTCCTGTCTCAAAATGTTGGATGTCTTTTTAAAAATGCACTGTAAAAAAAAATCCATAAAATTTACGGTAAAAAAACAGCAGCTGTGGTTGCCGGAATTTTACCATAAAAAATACAGTAGCAACGTGCTAGGTTTTACGGTTTTAACTTACATTTACAGTTAAACACCGTAATTTCATTAACTGATATAATGTTAATATACCAACCTATTGAAGTACTGAAATCTGTTTTGTACCTTTGTAATACAATGATAACCACCAAATGCAGGTGGTGATGAAGCCCATCACAAGCAGCTTTTAAATAATAACATATATAGAAGGTGCAGAGTGTCATTCACACAAACACTAAACACCATCATGGTAACACACATGAAACTGAAATAATGCAATAAACATTCATTTAACAACATTAGGTGTAACACACAACCCTAATATACAAAACTTATAAGAAAAAACTAAGAAGAAACATAGTTATTTCAACAAAAAAAAACATTAAAGTTGAAATGTAATGCAGAGAATTCTGGGAATGTAAATTTATGGTTATTCACAGTAAATTATACGGTCTTTTTCACTTCCAAAAACAGTATACTACCGTAAAAGTAATGTCCAATACATGTAGTGTCCAATACAGTTTTTCACCGTATATAGTAGGGGAATTTACCGTTAACCATTTAACAGGTTTTTACTGTAGCATTTTTACAGTCTTTTACCGTTAAATTCACGGTCATTTTTCACAGTGTGTGGACGTTAACTTGTTTGACTAGTAAAATAATCAGTCATTCATTTTTATTCATGTGGTGGGAGAAAAACACGGATCTTCTGTATTCAGATGGCAATAAAATTACTAGCCCCTGTAAATACGGAAATTATCTTACATCCCCTTTACATACAATTACTGTCGAAATAGGGCTAAATACACATAAAAATGTAGTGGGGTTTCTAGTGATATTTCAAGTTTTATTTTGAATTCAGAATTTATATATTCTATAAATTATATTTACATATTATATTTAAATTTCAGAATTTTCTAGTGCACTACTCAAAGGTTTTGTTAAAATATTTCAAATTAAATATATTAACATATTTTATAATTGCAAATAGTAATATTCTACATTTCCTTTGTTTCACATTGTCCATCTTTACTATATATATATATATATATATATACACACACACACACACTCACTCACTCACACGTACGCGCGCGCACACACACACACACACACACACACACACACACACACAGTACAACCCAACAGGCCTTCAACAACTATAGTAGAATTTAGCAGAAAATTGGAAAATGGATCCATCTGATCATCTGAACAAGAAAACGTGCCCTCAGAGTCCATTAGCTTGCAGAATTAATGTCCTGTGGTCTGTCAGCTGCCAAAATCTCGGAATGCACCTGTTTCACATTTAGGGCTTCCACTCTGATTACTCACATAGGAGCATGACACAACATTGTCTTTAACTCCATGCACTAAAAATAAGACAATGGCTACACAGTTATCTTATTAGGAGCTTAAACATGCATAAAAGTATAAATAACTGAACTAATTATGGATAAAACCCGATTTTTATCACTATAATCAGCCTCTAGTTTTTTCCTATAGGTGCTATCTTTAGAGCGGAAGGAGAAGCGACAGGGCTGCGAATGCACCTGGAAGAGCTGGTGTGACTAGAGACAGCTGTAATGAGGTGGAACTAAGCTACTGGCTCCTTACCTGATCACCGGTGTGAATAAACTATGGAGTCTGCAGAACAGCCTCACACCCTGAGGGGAAGAAGGACATCTGTTATTGTATGCCAAACTTTTCCAAAGGGCAGAAAGTGACAGAGGGAAAGCAGCCATTTAGTAGAGCATGGCTGCTTGAGTTACCTTGGAGATGACATCCTGCATGTCGCTGCGAGGGTGGTATGTGCCGTCATCATAGCGGAACCTATAGAGCACTGGCTCCGGCTTAAACTGGTGCTTGTCTGTGACTGAAATAAGTTTAAGAGTGTGGAGATTAAATTAAGGCTAGAACAAAATGTATCCACATAAATTTACATTTTCACTACTGTTTAATAGTTTGGAGTCAGTGCAATTTTTTTCAAAAGAAATCAATACTTTTATTTAGCAAGGAAGCATGAAATTTGATCAAAAGTGCCCGTTTTTTACAGTTACAATTTTTCAATTTCAAATAAATGCTGTTCTTTTGAATGCCCTATTCATCACAGAATCCTGATAGATCAAATGTATCATGGTTTCCACAAAAATTTTGTTTTTAATATAAGAAATGTTTCTTGAGCAGCAAATCAGCATATTAGAATGATTTCTGAAAGATCATGAGGCACTGAAGACTGGAGTAACAATGCTGAAAATTCAGCTTTGATATCACAGGAAAAAATTACATTTTAAAGTGTATTGCAATAGAAAATAGTTATTTTAAATTGTAATACTATTCCATAATATTACTGTTTTTATTGTATTTTTGATCAAATAAATGTAGCTTTGGGGAGAAAAAAAAATCAATAATAATTTTTCAGAAACTTCTAAACTGGAAAAACCCCAAATGGGAGAGTTAAGTATATAAATAAAAGGAAATATTACCAACTATATTAGCAATAATACTGATAAAGTTAATTTACAAGCACTCTCAAAAATAATTACATAGTAGATGAAAAGTTTTGTGAACACTTTTTAAAAATAATTTTTAACCCTTTTTTATACACAGTGTAATATATTCAGTTTAGATTTCAATTTACTAAAATTTAAAATGTATTAAAATAGTAGTTATTTCGAGCTGTAGTTAATTCCACTATTACAATTGTCCAATTACAGGGGAGCTATGCAGATGAAGCATACAGTAGAGAATTATTCAGCTGGTCATGTGATCTCAAAATGATGTGGCAGCCTGCTTTATGAAGAATAAAACAGCTTTTATACAAAGACAGGACTCATTTTGTAATTTTAAACATATTTGCTAAAGGTGAAAGTAACTGATTTTTTTATTATTATTATTTGTTTATTACTTTTTGCATTGTTCATAAGCAATTCTATTCCAAATAAATACAACATTAACACTGTACACTCTAAAAAAAATGCTGGGTTGTTTCAACCCAACTTTGTGTCAAATATGGACTAACCCAACCGTTGGGTTAAATTTTTACATTACATTTTTAACCCAAAAGTTGGGTTAGTCCATATTTGACCCAAAGTTGGGTTGAAACAACCCAGCATTTTTTAGAATGTAATGTAAAGATTTAAAACGCATGGCTTATACTCTATTTTGATTCATTTTGCATGTGCAAGGCAACAGAAATTCTATACAATGAGGCTGATTGAATATCTTTGTTAGTATTAAAAAGTTTTACAATGCCACAAAAGGCTACAAAAACTTTTAAGGACCTTCAGAATCTTTCAATGGAATTTAGAGTCTTTCAGCTCCATGTAAGCACAAATGCAAGTAACACTAACATGCTTATGAAAAGTAATCCTGCTGTTTCTGCCAAATTAATTCATCCTCCTCAGCGAACACTCAGCAAAGGCTTAAAAATCTTTCTCACCAAAGCTGTAAATGCGAGCGAGTGGACAGAGGGCCCTAATGCTCAAATTTATTTCTCCCTGTTAGGAAGCGGTGAAGTGAAAAGTGATTTAGCATGAAGTCCTGGCTCAAAGCCAGTCAGTCTCCTTTAGGGAAAAAACTAGTCCATACGGTGAGCATGCATTAAGCAGAATTGGACCCCACCGCCCAAACAAATGACAAAAGAAATAGCAGACAGAAGACCAGCCATTTCCCTCAGTATTAAAGAAACAGCAGGGTGTGAAGGGATGCATATTTGTAACACTTTATATAAACATAGACAAAGTTATAAAAAGCCATCTGCTCTTGGACGCTCCCAGAATTCCTCAGGGCTTGAGAACAATGATGTCAGGGCTCTTGAAATATTAAGAGAGCTATTTGTCTAATCAGCCATCTGCATTAAACGGATAGTTCACCTAAAATGAAAATTCTGTCATCATTTACTTTCCCTCATATCATTCCAAACTTTTTTTTTCTGTGCAATACATACAAATATATTTTGAAGATTGTTGATCACCAAATGCTTTTGACTTCCATATGGACAAAAAAAGAAATAAAAGACAATAGAAGTCAAAGGGACCCAAAACTGTTTGGTTACCAACATTCTTTTGAATACAGGTTTGGAAAGACATGAGGAGAAGTAAATAATGACAGAATTTCATTTTTGGGTGGACTATCCCTTTAATATATTAACAGTGCACAAACGGTGTTGATGAAAATTCAACTGATTATTTGAGCTAGACATGCATGAAATAAATGTCTATCTACTCGTTTTGACTGATAGCAAACAGCCTTTAGTTCAATAAGATGTATTGCCTTTTTTCATATTTATAAGATTTGCATATGTTTTAAAAGTTTTGTCTGTATTGTATTTTATCATTTGCTATCTGACTCTTATCTATCCCTCTAATTCATACAGTATTATTATAACCAAGGCAAAATAAATTAAATTTCAGTCATACTTTATTCACTCATTTCAAACCTGTATGACCTTTCCTCTTATGCAGATTACAAAAGATTATATTTTAAAGAATGTAGTTTTTAAGGTTTGTCCATACAATCTAAATCAGTGAGTCACAAAACAGCACTGGACTCTATTGACTTTGATTACATAGATCAATAAACACTGAGCCATTTTTCAAAACATAATTTGTGTTGCACAGAAGGTGATACAGGTTTGGAAAGATATGAGGGCGAGTAAAAACATTGACAGAAATGTTTTGTTTTCTCTCTAATTCTATTTAATTAAGTCAACGCTTTGTATTCAGCACAAATTTCCAAACATATTTGTCAGATTAATTCCTTTGACCTAAAATGTTTACTTGAAGTACCCTCTGAAATTTTAAGTTGATATTTTAATAATTTAACAATACATTCACATGTTCACAGTTTTCTGATGTCTGCTACTGGTCACATGATACATAGGTTTTCTTTCATAGTAAATGTTTTATTATGATTACTTATATTTTTTATTATTAATTTCAATTTAACGTCTTTATAACTTAATTATTAAATAATTATTAGTTCACAAACCCCAGTTATATAACAAAGTCACTGTAAAAATTTTAGCCAGTACTGACACACAGAAAGTCAGAATATGTTAGTAAAAGATCAATAGAGTGGAAATATTACTAACCGTGGTGTATGATGCCGTTTTCCAGGAGAGCCTGGCCCAAATGAACCCCTTCCTCTGGGTTATTGGTCTCTCCGATCTCCATCAGCCAAGACACAAACTCACTAAGAAAAGAGAGATGGAGGACATATAAATAATGTGAGGACAAACAAAGAGGGACCCATAAATTATATGAATGACTGTCAACAAAATCCATTAAAACTGAGTGATCACACCACAGAGACGAGCTCGATAATTAATAGTCTTCTTGTGCAGTGAGGTGGAGTATAAGTCTGATCACTTTTCCTTTCTTTCTTTCTTTCTACTCATCTATTTACTATCCAGCATCTACCCTCTATCGATCCATCTATCTATCAATCCATTCATTGATCCCCTTAACAATGCAGAGATTAGAATAAAAAAAGATTTACTCCTTTTCTATTTCTCTCCTACTCTTTTTCAATCTTTCTCTGGTTTCTTAATTCAGTCTTTTTCTCCCGATAAAGCTAAACTGACTGCCCTGTATAATTTAGTAATTTTGCTGGGTAAAGCCACTGTCTCAGTGGAGGATATCTGATTCCACTCCCTCCCCACCTCTCCGCAAAACCAAAACGAACATGCCAAGCTCCACCAGTGTAATCCTGCAGCTCTTCCCAGAGTTTATGGAACCCAATGGTGATACAGCATGAGAAACATCTCAGACTCCAGCAGACCTCTGAGGTTTTAGGAGATAGAATTTGTATAAAAAGAGGCCAACCTTAGGTCTGTATTCCAAAACGTTCATAAATTACAACCATTTAAGTTCGGATAATGCTTTTTCGCTGACTGAATTAATGATATGGAAAGATAGAAACAGAAAAAGAAAATGACAGTGAACGAAATGAATAAAGAAAGATGAACACAACAAGACAGAATGTACAAATGTAGAGCATAACATCAGCACAGTGCCTGTGACAGAATTATTAGATTCAATGATTGAAAGAGAAATAGTGAAAAGACAAGAAATAAAGGTTTGTCAGTCTGCTGTCACTTTGGTAATTGCTTTAAAGTTGTTACCTGCATTTCTGCATAATTGAACTGTACATAAAACCACGGTATTATTGAAACTAATTTCAGACAGCAGGTTTTTAATCAAGAAATACAGATGTTCCAGTAGCTCAAGTGACACATGTAACTATATGTTAAATGTGAGCCAAAATCATCACAATTAAAAGAACCAAAGACTTAAACTACTTCAGTCTGTGTGCTGTAGCGAATCATCTCATGGGGAAATATGAATAATTAACCATAACTAGTTATAGTTAACTATTCATATTTTAGATCCACTGTAGATATTTAGCTGACCACTCAGGGTTCGACCTGTGCTAGCTCTAGGACTATTCTTGTGTTTTGCCCACCATATACCTGTTTGCCCTCATCTGACCCATGCCTGCTGTATGACCACGTCTCTGTCTGTGTCTAATAAAGCTCTGCGAATGGATCCGCAAGTCTCACGTCTCGTCAGCCCCGTAACGTACATTTGATTGTGCTAAAGTGGAACTATAGCAAATATAGTTCAGGTATACTTTAAATATCTTGCATTTAAAGACGGATATACAGAGATCATACAGTAGTGATAATCAAACACATTTTAGGCATAATATTAAGAAATGTGCATTGTGCAATAAAGAAATACTTCAATTAAAGTGCAATTATAATTTTATATCAGTAAGTCTTAAGTCACATGTCAATAAATGTTAATGGATTTGAAGTATACTTAATATGAAATATATGTATTTAAAATTAATTATGGCACAGTTTTTTTACTAGGGGAAACTAGAGTCCATATTTAAATAATAAACACCAGCTGATAAATATCCAATACTGTGACTAATACTGAAATCAATCCATCAATCAATCAATGAATCATGAATGCCTAGACACAAATACTAATAAATGTGAATGCATTGTAATTTGGTTTGGATAAAAGCATCTGCCAAATGCTGCCTTAGCCTTAGTCTTAGCCCTAGTCGTTTGCCTTAGCCTTAGCCTTAGCCCTAGTCATTTGCCTTAGCCTTAGCCTTCCCGGTTTCTGATCTTCGCCTGGTTCCCTGGATTCACCCCTTTTGTCTTGCCCCTTTTGATTCTGTCTGCCGATCATCGACCTGTGCTAGCTCTAGGACTATTCTTGTGTTTTGCCCACCATATACCTGTTTGCCCTCATCTGACCCATGCCTGCTGTATGACCACGTCTCTGTCTGTGTCTAATAAAGCTCTGCGAATGGATCCGCAAGTCTCACGTCTCGTCAGCCCCGTAACGTACATTTGATTGTGCTAAAGTGGAACTATAGCAAATATAGTTCAGGTATACTTTAAATATCTTGCATTTAAAGACGGATATACAGAGATCATACAGTAGTGATAATCAAACACATTTTAGGCATAATATTAAGAAATGTGCATTGTGCAATAAAGAAATACTTCAATTAAAGTGCAATTATAATTTTATATCAGTAAGTCTTAAGTCACATGTCAATAAATGTTAATGGTTTGAAGTATACTTAATATGAAATATATGTATTTAAAATTAATTATGGCACAGTTTTTTTACTAGGGGAAACTAGAGTCCATATTTAAATAAACACCAGCTGATAAATATCCAATACTGTGACTAATACTGAAATCAATCCATCAATCAATCAATGAATCATGAATGCCTAGACACAAATACTAATAAATGTGAATGCATTGTAATTTGGTTTGGATAAAAGCATCTGCCAAATGCTATATGCTAGTCCTGAATGAGAAAAAAAAAACAATTTATTTGAACAGCTTGTTCTAAAAAAAATGGAGTTTAACTCAATATAGTGAACAATGAGGGAACACACAAAGACAAAGAAGATTATGATACACAGTCTTTAATAAGCCACATAGGCGTAATCCATAGAAAGAAGGCCAAAAACACACGTACACATCGACAAGACCGGACAACCAAACACTGAACAGAATGCAACTTATATTGGGAACGTTAATGAGGATAATTGACACGAAACACCTGAACATAATGACACAATCAACGGGAGACAGAAACTAGGTCAAAAAACACGAGGGATGAAATGAAAACAAACACAAAAGTCCATAAAGTGTTACAATATCCTTAAAGCAAGTGTTTTAATTAAGTCTCGTTATTAATTAAGAGCTAACCTTTGCTGCAAATTCAATACTCAGAGTTTAACATGTAAATTTAGCACATAAAGCAAAGAGAGAGACACTTATTGCAAGGGGAGAACTATATGAAAGCAGAGCAGAATTAAAATAGTTGAGGCATAGAGATGCATGAAGCAAACAGAGATGAGATTGATCAAAAATACTACTGGCTGTGAATCACATGTTAAAATAGTAACACAAACCGGTGGCCAGATCACCACAGTGTTTCAGCACGCTCACCCAGAGAGAGATATTTTCACAGGTTCTGCTGTCATATGTTTATTAAGTCCATCTGGCTTTCTGAGACGCACAAACCACCCGCTCATGAACATTATCTGCTGTCTGTGATCTCTATCCTTAATGAATCCATTCCCGCTCCAGACCTCGCTGTCTGTGTGCTGTCTGGAAACGCTGGGGGAAAAAAGTTGTACCCCTAAATCCATTTACAAAATGATCTGGCCACAACTATAAGCAGTTGTTCTTTGAGGAGGCTTTTTTATTATAATCTCCTTTGAACAGGCAAATTCCAACCTAAAATGATATTTTAAAGAATGAAAGTCTTGTTTGCGGTTGAGTGTCACAGTGTTTTGAGTGTCTTATTTTAGCGAACAATGAGGTTATCATATTGACATCTCAAAGGGTTTAAATTATGAATGCCAGCTACAGACACTTCTGGATTGCCAGTCGAGCTGAGTTAATCTGAGCCCAGCCTAAGGATTTCCCAACCACACTTAAAGCAAAAGAGATCAGAGCAGGAAAAATCCAACACATCTTGGAACAATCTCCTTTATATTTTCTGGTCTGGGTGCTTCAGCGTAATGCAGACTGCAGATGTTCACACTTACATCTTCAAAAGGTAGGCGTCAATATTTCTATCAGATCAAATTTACTAAAACAATGATAACTCGTACAGAAAACTACCTTGTGGTTACTAAATCGTTGAAAAAAAACATGGTAAATTAATATTCCAAACCCTAGGTTAACATAATCCTGGGTTATTTTGTTTCACATTTCCCTGGTTTAGTTCTTAATCCTGAGTAGTCAGGTTATAAGGTTTCATCTGAAATCTCTGGGTTAATATTCTTATTTGCATATATATGAGGTTAATAATTGATTTGTTTTAATACCTGCTTGTCTAAATATGAAAATGTTGCCAGATAAATCTGCACTGGTTTAAATCTCACCTTTGCTGTTAATGTTATTGTTAAGACACATCATGAATATTTAATGAGGCAAGCATTAAGGTAGTTTATGATTGGTTGGTTGATGCTAAACAATTTCATGTTACAATCTAGCACTGCATTGCATCACAGTGTAATTTGGGGTTAACAATGCAAAAGTGGTGTACGTATATATATGTGTGTGTGTGTGTGTGTGTACTATTTTATTCAGCAAGGACACAATAAATTTATCAAAAGTGACAGTACATTTATAATGTTACTGAAGACTCAAAATAAATGCTGTTCTGAAAAGTCCTGAAAAAATTTATCTCACAGTTTAAACAAAATTATCAAGTAGCACAACTGTTTACAGTATTGATAATAAGAATTAATTGTTTCTTGAGCACCAAATCATTATATTAGTATGATTTCTGAAGGATCATGTGACACTGAAAACTGGAGTAACTGCTGGAGTAACTTTTACTGGAGCAATTTTTAAAGCTGCAGTCCGTAACTTTTGGTGCTCTAGCGGTTAATAAACAGAACTCCTTGCGTCTTGCGGAAGAACATTGTAGCCGGAGCTACTTCTCTCTGTTTATGTCTATGACGAATCACGCAGGTACTGGGCTACTCCGCAGCGGTACCTATCGGACCACTCCTAAAATAGTCTGAATATAAACACTTATTATAGGTGTACCGTAGTGATTTATTATAAGCCAAAAACACGGTTTTGAAAATGGATTCATGGTGTGCTCGCTTATTATATAAATTTTGTTAAAGGTGCAGTAGGAGATCTTGGAAAATGCTAACTTTAGCCTGATAGCACTGAAAGCGAACGTCCCACCCTCCCTGCAACTGCCGTCCAAAGCCACGCCCCCTGAACGCATTTACGCTCACAGACCAGAGACAAAATTACTACAATAGGCTACATCAGCGGTTCCCAATTCCAGCCCATGTTCCGAAGTGAAGTAAACTTCAACGGATTTCCCTGGCTCAGGGAGTAGGGAGCAATGAACACTGTGTAGGGATCATATCGATCAGAACACAGTTCATGTACGTAGCTCACTTTTAATGAGCTGGTGCGAGGACTGGATTAACCGCTGGGCTACATCATGTGTCATTCACCGGTGAGAAAACTTTAAAAGTACTACAATACCAGGAAGGAAGATTTGGTTGTTGATGATTGTATGCCATTCTCGCTCTGTCTGCACAGCGTGCGTGAACGCGGTGATGACGTATCCTGTCTGCGCGAACCCGGTGCACAGAGGTATGCTAATACATATTGTAAGTTGACAGGCCGGTAGGAAAGCCAATTAAAACGCTCTGACCGAGCGTTTTGATTGGATGAACATTTCTTGATCCTATGCCTTCCACAAAATATATAAATACAGACAAATACATTAAGACCACTTAACTTAATGATTGCTATCGGGATGTGAAGAGACTTTCAACCAGCATAACAAAAAATGTTTCTGAAGACAATCACCTATTGCACCTTTAATTTTGAACACAAAAAAGTTACGGACTGCAGCTTTAATATTAAAGGTGCAGTGTGTAAATATTAGTGGTGAGGATGCGAATTGCAACCACTGGCTCAGTCCCCCGCTCACCCCTCCCTTTAGAGAAGCTACGGTGGCCGATACAGGACTAAGATGTCGTGGTCTGAGACAGCAGTGTAGCCAGCAATGAGATTTCTTTACAAAGGTAAATTAAGGAATTATATTAATATAATTCTTAAGTACTCAATAAAACGATATGTTATTGCGAATATTATTGTTACTTGTTCATCATTGTGTCAGTGTTTTATTCGCAAGAACAACATAGTGACGAAACACGCTCCGTTTGTCCTTTAAGGGCTATTGTACAAACATGGTGGTGACTTCCATGTAAGGGGACCCGCGGTGTATGTAGACATAAATTGCTCATTCTAAGTTAATAAAAACATAACAGTTCATTGTGTAAGGTCTTTATACACCTCTGAAAATATAGTTATGTATATTATATTGCATTTCTGTCAATAGATTCTCCTAAATATTACACACTGCACCTTTAAATTAAATTACTACTTTTAAATGCTACATTTTTATGTCTAAAATGCTTGTTAAACGAGTTTAAATGTATGTGATATTGTAAACTATTCACCAAATAAATTCAATTTGTCATGTATTTTGTCCATGTGTTCTTGCCTAATAATACATTTTCTTCTTTTGATTATTGCTGTTGCCTCTAGTAATTCTGTGTGATTGTTTAATTTCCAGCCCATTTTAAGCCAGCAATATAATATTTTTTAAACAATAGTTGACTTAAATAAAACAACCCAGTATGTTGGGTAAAAACGTTTAACCCAACCAGCTGGGTCAAAATAACCCAGCATGTGTTCTGTCCAATATTTACCCAGCGCTGGGTTGCCAAATAACCCAAGTTGGGTTGTTTTTAACCCAGCATTTTTTTTTAAGTGTATGCTAGTTACCTCTGTGGTGTTTTTGAACACAGTTTAAAAACAAACTGAGTGGTGCAGGGAACTCTGGGTACCATTTAAAACAGACCAGATTTACACTGCTAAATAAAAAGCAGGTACAAACACATTCAACCAGTGCTCTTAAAAGAAGATTCACAACCAAAAAAAAGGACCTAGAAGCTATTTCTTTAACACATAAATCAAATTCTTCAAGGAAAAGAAAAGAAAAAACAAAAGACAGATGGACTCTACAGAAAAGGACAGATTTAAAAGCACAGAAATGGACGGGTAATAAAAACGATCCCGACTTAGTGTTTGAGATCTATTCATCATGTACAGTAGCCTGAGATCTGTTCACCCGAATGCTGTCCATCTCTAACTCCATTATACTGCACTGCTCTGTTATTTATGATGTTCATGAAATGTTATGTACTCCGGTCACTACAGTCACTTCTACAGCTACACACTCTCATTCTCAGCATGTCACTCGCACTCCCATGATACTGCAGGTCATGACCCCCAGCGTAATCTCTCCTGGAGTCTATCACAGTCATTATCCACACAGACAGACCACAGAGAGACGGCTCTCGCTGACCTACCTTCCAAGGAAGCACTTGGGGAAGGTGGTGAGTTTGCGCTTGCGGTCCTTAATGAGGTGGCCCTGTTTACTCATGAGGTTATAAAGCTTCTCGCCTTTCTCAGATATCATCACCCAGGTGTCCTGCTCCATGCCCAGTCTCAATGCTGCAAAAGCAAACGAGAGATTGCACTGTCTGAACAGAATTACACAGATTGTATGTGTGTATGTGCTGTCTATTTAGCACAGTGTATGTACATGTGTTGTGTATATAGTGTGTATATATTTTAGTTAATGTTAACTAATGTAGTTAAATAATGTTAACAACTGGAACCTTATTGTAAATGTTACCATATATATAATATTTATTAGAGGTATCAGTATCAGTATCAGTATTGGCGATGCTGACCTTAAAATTACTTTATAAAAAGATGCTACTATATTGCTATTATATATAGATAGATTATTTAATATATATTTTCTTTATATTGATTCTACATTAATTTCGGGATTCAATGTGTCAATATATTTATTGTTACAAATTTTAATTTGTTTATATATTCCGTTTGTTTTAGATGTTTATATAAAATAATAATACAATATAATATATTTATATAAAAAAAATACATTATATTAACACTATTTGATAATAATTAATAACAAAAAATGCACAATTACAATTACATTATAATACTGTACAGCAAAATCTTACCATTAAATCTCAAATTAACAAATTGTAAAAATATTCTAATATATAGATATTATTTAAAATATATTTTCTTTATATTGAATCTACATTAATTTTAGGATTTACTGTGTCAATATATTTCTTGTTACAAATTATAATTTGTTTATATATTTACTTTGTTTTATCTGTGTATATAATACAATACAATACAATAATATAATATAATAAACAACAAAAAAACATTATAATAATAGAAATATTTAATAATGATTGACAAAAAATGCACAATTACAACATTTTAATATCGTACAGCAAAATCTGACCATTACATTACAAATTAAGGCTTCTGTTCCCTCACAGTACACTTAATGAGCCGTATTGTAATTTTCTTCTTTTTTTCAGCAGGTAATATTACATCACTACTCACTTTTTCGTCTTTCTCTCTCTTTTAAAATGGCCTCCAGCCACTCCTGCTTCTCCTCCGGCGTCTTCGCCATGCAGACAAACCACTTGTTCTTCGCTGTGTTGTGGATCTTCCAGCCGTTGTTCACGATGTTCCCGCTGCTGTGGTAATCCGCTGAGGAAAAACACTGACAAGTAATCAATGTCTGCCTGTCAGAGGTGCCTTTTATAGCCCTCCCAGGCCACTTCCTTGGATTTTCCAAAACATATTTTCTTTTGTCTGTGTGGCCCGTTTGTCTACATGTGGCATGACCAGCAATGTTCTCCGTTTCGCATTCTTGCCTTCCCGCCACATTTGTATGCCAGGCTATCTATCAAAGCGGCCCAGATGACAAAATGGATGTTCTTGGCCATAAACAAAGCAGTGTGAACAGCCCAAGAGAACAGTAAAGTTCAGAGCAAATGAAACATTCCCACATGAAACAGGCAACAAACAAAATAGCCCATGAACGAAATGGATCACAGGCAGACGACGAATCGATTGCTCTAATTACAAGGCCGTGAAGAATCGACATGCTATTTGAACAGTCCTGAAGAACAGGCAGGAATTAAAACCCATCTTGAAGCACTGACTGCATCAATGTCTCAGAGGAACAAAATCCTTTAGAACTTTTTTGCAACTTTCAAACAATACTGTGTGTGGTGGTTTCTTAATAGTTTTCATGCATTGTTTTTGGATAAGTACTTCTCTACATTGTACAGCTCTATGCTTTGCACGCAAATTGAGTTGTCATGATCATGGATTTTGTGCTGATGATTAATTGTAAATAAAGCAATTATTAAAATAATATTACTTTATTATAAAGTACTGTATATATATATATATATATATTAGGGCTGTCATCGTTAACGCGTTAACGCATGCGATTAATTTTACAATCCTTAACACGTTAAAATAATTTTACGCAATTAACACAAAATTACTGAAGCACAATTTCTATTCTAACCCTTTAACCCAATTTTGCTACTCTGCTTGCGATCAGATCATTTTAAGCTGCTAAACTCCGGGAAAGTTTTCTGTCCATAATCCAGTAAGCAAATGCAAAGACTGCAATCAAGCTAAAGACGATTGCGGTGGCGCACAGGAGTCGTACAGTAAGCACGCGTGAGTCCGTTATAATAATGCTTGTATGAGTGCTCTTGACGCACTGATCGCACATTGTATTTATGCACAGGCACAAACATTTCCGTACATTCACGTTGTTTCCACACACATTCACGATAATGTTTTGATTTGTCATGTTTATGTTGCTGTGTTTAGTTATACTGAATGGATCCGTGTACAGTAGATATATGCAGTCAGCAGGCGATTGGTTTAGGGTTTTTTGGCATCACCATGTGGTCCTGTTCGGTATCGCAACTTGGCTTCTCTAAAATGTAAAAAAGCTCTTTGCTGTTGCACTGTACACATATTATTAAATTCAGATTTTTTTTTCTTTCATATGTGTTTATATCAGCTCCTTATATCATTTGGTTCTTTGGTGTCCTTTTGGAGTTCTAAGTGTCCGTTGTGTTTTACAGAAAAAGAATAGTCATATGGAGTATAAAATAGTCTTATCAGGAGTATTAGAGTTAACTAAAACTTAGTAAAAAGGTACTTTATCTTTAAATAATAATAAAATATGAAATAAATTAAATATTTGACAAATTTTAACTTCTTTCTTTTCATTTACAACATTTCTCATTTTCATTTAGTCTAGCTAATAAACTAAAATAGCTAAAAACTAAAACAAAAATGAATATATACTGTATGTATGTGTGTGTGTGTGTGTGTGTGTGTGTGTGTGAACTGTAAACTTTAAATGTAGAATTAAAATTAATTTTATCCTCTGAAATGAAAAAAATCCATCTAAAGATGCCATTACAAATATTATTTAAAATATAGTTTCTTTATATTATTTTGACATTAATTTCGGAATTCAGTGTGTTTTACAGTGTGTTTGCTGTCACATTACTTATATGAACTACTTTTATGGTGGTATTTTATCACTTTTAAAGCTTAATAGCCCTAGTACCTACTTACTTTCATTATACGGAAAAGACGGATTCGGATAAAATCCTTCTTTTGTGTTTTACAGAAAAAGAATAGTCATATGGAGTATAAAATAGTCGTATCAAGAGTATTAGAGTTAACTAAAACTTAGTAAAAAGGTACTTTATCTTTAAATAATAATAAAATATGAAATAAATTAAATATTTGACAAATTTAAACTTCTTTCTTTTCATTTACAACATTTCTCATTTTCATTTAGTCTAGCTAATAAACTAAAATAGCTAAAAACTAAAACAAAAATGAATATATATGTATGTGTGTGTGTGTGTGTGTGTGAACTGTAAACTTTAAATGTAGAATTAAAATTAATTTTATCCTCTGAAATGAAAAAAATCCATCTAAAAATGCCATTACAAATATTATTTAAAATATAGTTTCTTTATATTATTTTGACATTAATTTCGGAATTCAGTGTGTTTATATAGAATAGAATAGAATAGAATAGAATAGAATGCAGTATTTATCATTTTCATTGTACTAAAATACCTAAAACTAAAACCGGACAAAAGAAAAAACTTAATAAAAGGGTAAAACACAACTCAATTACTAAAACTTTAACTACAATTAAATTAATACAGAAAACAGAAAAATACAACCTAATTCAAAATAATATAAACAAATTATAATAGTATTTCAATGATGCTAAAATAACACTGATATGGATTTGTAATGACATGAGGCTGAGTAAACAACACACCTGTTCCATCATCCACATTCTCCACCTCCATGACCTCTGTGTTGATTCGGCCTCGGAACAGGTAACGAGGACCCTCAGTGGCCGTCTTACTGTTTTTCAAACGCCTGTAACCGAGCCCAGTACAGAACCATTACTCTGAGCTTCTCTGTTATCTCATTAAAAACCAACACAGCTGGCAGCTGCAAGGTTTGACAGGTGAAAGTGAAAGCTCACCTGTTCTTCTTCTTACAGTACACCAGCAAGTTGTCAAAGAGGAAGAAGATACGTTCCTGGATGTTCCCCGCAGAGATCTTCAGCAGAACTCCCTGCATGAGCATCTCCGTACAGCTGTCTGTGATGTTGGAGCCCTAAGAGTGGAAAATAGAGCAAAACAAAAAAATTATTAAAAGTTACGTGGCAGAAATAAAATTTAATTGAAAACTTTTTTATCTAAATGCTTTCTTCATCAAAATAAAATAAATTAATCTTAGTCCAGCTATCTGTGATGTTAGAGTCAATGTTATTTTAGTACCATTGATGGGTTTATAGTTTTTGTTAATATTTTGAATTAGATTTAATTGGCATATTTTCTGTTTTCACTTTAATTTTAGTAAAAGTTTTTGTAATTTTATTGGTTTTATTTTTTTATATGTCTATATCAGAGATGCCCAAACCAGGGCCCGTGGGCCAAAGTTGGCCCATGTTGATCTTTGATTTGGCCCACCATATCACAAAAATTTCATAGGAAAAATAACATAGTCTACATAGTTTCTATTTATTTTATTTTTTTATTAGTTTCTCTGCATCAGAAATAAATGTTTTTTCTTTAATAAATAAAATCAAATAAAAAAGATGAATTTCTGTTCAGCTGTCTGTGATGATGTAAGGACAATAGAGAAGATATTTCCAGAACTATCACTAGTAATTTCTAAAAATGTTCTCCTGTGTCCTACGGCTGCCATATTAAGTGTTATAACTTCTTCCATTCATTTGTTTGTGCAAGTGGTCCATCCCTTATACTGCTCTGTCCCACACTTTGTCTTGTTTCCCAGAGTGCTCTTGGTCAGTAGAGTCTCATGAACACTGCTTCATAAGACCTGCTGTGAAGGACACACAGCTGTGCAGGAGGTCAACAACAATGAGCAACAAGCCGCTTCCAGCCGTGTGACTGCCAGTGAGAACAGACAACCTCTTCCTCTTCCCCCAAATCCAGAACACATATTAACGCAGTGATGTATTTCACATTTAATAGGAGCTGAAGTTCATGATTATGAAGCAAATCTAGGATTCTTTGCTTTCGTTGTGCGTGTGCATCCCGTCAAAAGCCTTGTTTCCTGGACATGAAGTAACAGGAAAGCAAAAGGCCAGTGATGAAGCACAGAAGGCTAAAACAGATTTGGAAACTGCTTCCAAAAGGTCACAGAGTACTTCATAAAAGTGGTTTTGGAATGGTCACTGCACTGCACTCGAACAGTGTGTACGACTAAATGGTACACTGAAATTTCCCCATAATATGCATTGTTGTCCTCTGAGAAACTTAAAGTGACAGCTCTGGCCACACAGACCAAATGTATATAATTTCTCGCCTACCAGAAGGGTGTGACGGCTCAGATATGTGTTACAGACAGAAACAATCTCGCAGCGAAATTGTAGATCTTAAAACAAAATTCAGTCATCATTTTCGAAACCCATGTCTGTCTGTTATAAAACATTCCACTATATTTCCCTCGTAAAATCTGACCGCCTGTTTTTCATTCTGCGGTATGTTTTTACAGTGGTTGATGTGGACATAGAAACCTGGCTAGGATCATTTCAACACGCACCCTGAATGCTAAAACAACATGGCCTTTGCGAAATTTCTTTTTAAAACACAAGGACACGTGCAAGGCTGCTAAGATCAAATGCAAAAGTCCACTCAAAAGTAAAAATAGTTGCGATCATTGCTGTTTAATCTTGAACTTATTAGGACTGCTTACAAATTCATTTACTTGCATTCTTGAATACGATATGGCTCAGTGACTCATGAAGCAGATGGGTAAACAGATTCAAAAGGATGTAAGCATAAATGCTGTCCTCTGTATCGCCATCTGCAAAATATGGTTAAAAATAGATCTAGCGCCTGCTGTGAAGCGTTCATTCTGAGATTAGACAATGTTGAGGCTAAATCTGAGTGAAACAGGAAGTTGTACGTGAGACAGTTAAATTCAACACTCAGCAGAGAGACTTTCGTGGTTAACACATTGACCACAACAGTTAACTCACTCTAGTGCCACCATGCCAAAGTGACTCACACCTACCACAGTGTCCTATCAACAACACCCACACTCACAAAACCCAGACTTTTGGGCTCTGTTGAATCACCAATAAATAAACAAATAAATAATTAAAATAAATAAAAATGCAGTGCCATTATTTACTCTATCTACATAATTTTCTTTCTTCTGTGCAACATAAAACTAGCCATACAATGAAATTGAATGGTGACCAGGGTCTGTTAAACTCCATGACAAAGAAAACACCCTAAAAGCATTGTAAACATAGTCCATTAGATTCCTACATCCCAAATGTTCCGACATCATACGCTAGGCTTTTGTGAGAAAAATACTCATAGTTACACCAAGTTCAACATCTGTGCTTCCAAACATTAACGGTTTTCATGTAATAAATTTGAATATGTGCATATGCAAATGAGACTAATCCAAAGTTCTGTCATGAAACTTTAGATGGCGCAGTCTGATAGGTTCCAACTCAATCTGATATAGTGACATCATTATTCACATGGCGCAGCTGATTTTTGTTTTTGTTTTTTTCACATCAGCAGCCAATGAGCTGCTGCTCAACATTCAGATACTCGGCTATTGCTTGCTTTAGCAGTTGCGGCGCGCTTCATAAACCCACCACCTCCCCAGCTCCACCTGTATAGATCTGCTACAGGGTGATTTCATGTATGTTGTATATGCGGGTTATTTCATGTTATATGTTCAGCAGAAGTATTTCTTACATGCTCAAAACAGCAAGTGCTCTGCCACAGCAGCAGCAGTGTATCAGATCTATTCCGCCAAGACCAAACATATTAACATTGTCATGTACATTATCATGCTAAACTCTATGAGAGTTGTTATGACAAATTGTGATGTTATGATAAATAAGCTAAAATTCTAAAGTTTGGGGTCTAAAGATTATTTGAAAGAAGTCTCTTATGTCCACAAATCTGCATTTATTTGATAAAAATAAAGTAAAAGCAAAATTTTAAAATAAAAATTGTATTTAAATATATTTTTTAAATGTAATTTATTCCCGTGATATCAAAGCTGAGCAGAGATTATTCCACTCTTTGGTGTCACATGATCCTTCAGAAAAAATCTAATATGCTGATTTGATACTAAAGAAACATTTATTTTTATCAATGTTGTGGTACTTAACATTTTTGTGGAACCTGCAATACATTTTTTGAGGATTCTTTGATTAGAGAGTTCAAAAGACAAACATTTATTTGAAACAGAAAACTTTTGTAACAATGTAAAGGTCTTTACTTTAATTTTTAATTAAATTTCATGCATCCTTGCTAAATAAAAGTATTATTTTAAGAGATAGCGGAACTGTTTGGTTACCCATATTCTTCAGAATATCTTCTATGTTCAACAGAGGAAAGAAACTCGTACAGGTTTGGTACAACTTGAGGGTGAATAAATTATGACAGAATATTCAGTTTTAGGTGAACTACCACTTTAGTTTCTATCAGAATAAAACCAGACCCAAACCTTTGAATGGTAGTATATATATATTACATATATTAATAATATAAATGATTATCATAAACATTTTGCTAAGCTCTCCTTTGTCTTTTATTGAAGAAAAGCCATATGGATGCATATATCATGACAATTTTCTTTTTGTTTTTTTTGAACTACCACTTAAAGGGGTCATCGGATTCCAATTTTCCACAAGTTGATTCTTTAGGGTCTTAATGAAAAGTCTATAACATACTTTGGTTAAAATCTCTCAATGGTAGTGTAAAAAACACCTTTTTTACCCTGTCAAAATCAGCTCTGTTTTCAGCATGCTGTTCGAGTCCATGTTGCTTTAAATGCTAATGAGCTCTGCTCACCCCGCCCTTCTCTTCCGTGGGGTGATGAGCAGGCTGTAAACTTCAGCCATGAAACTGGGTAACTAGCATGTTATTAGGAAAGGCGATTTGCAAAGATTCATAAAAAACCCTTATCCTCACTTCTTCTGTAGATGAAGCAGGATCACGAATGATTCGCGTAAACATAGACGCATTTAGGCAGATCGGGAATCGGCGCATTCCCTTCAAAACAAAAAGTAACGTTAATCCTCTGCGTCTTCAGCGGCTCAGATGTCGGGAGTAAATGACGACTGCTATGTTCATTATTACATCCAACAACAAAACACCTCAATCGCTTAATCGGAGATGTTCTTGTCTTCCCCTGCACCGGAGTCGACACAATGGCGGACTGATGACAGCTCACTCGGGGCGGGTCTAAGGTAAGACGGCCTTGTCAATCAACTATCGTGGGAGTGGCCTGTGCAGAACTACGTCATTCTGACAGGAATCTCAGAACAGCCGGATTTGAGAAAGGGGATTTTAAAATAGGGATTTAAAAAAAAAAACACTGGGTGGATTTTTATCACTATAGGATGGATGTGTACACACACTTCCAGCACACATTTATGTTCAAACAACTTGTAAAGTGAATTTTGCATCCGATGATCCCTATACTAACTATAGTAGTCACTCCATTGTCTAAACTAATTCATGTTCTGGTCGACTTTTACATCCTAATGAGTTTGAGTTCACCATGTCTGTGTCTATTATTTCACCTCTTTCTATATTTCCCTAAAGCCACCAAGCGCCCCGCTCACATAAAACCTCACTGGACAGGTCCGTTACATAAACCCCAAGCACAGAACCCACACTGCCCACACAATCACCGCCATTGTTACCCTTGGCCAGCAGCCCCATGCCCAGTCACACGTTATTAAGAGGGAAGTCTGGAGCATAAATGAGTTTCAAACTGCAGTCGATGGTACCTGCTGGTTACTTGATGGGATGGGGGCAGAACACATGTTAGATATAGTTTGTGGTTAGTTTATAGAGCACTTTTGAAAGTATTTCTGCTCTAATCTGCCACCTGGCACAGAACCCACACTGCCCACACAATCACCGCCATTGTTACCCTTGGCCAGCAGCCCCATGCCCAGTCACACGTTATTAAGAGGGAAGTCTGGAGCATAAATGAGTTTCAAACTGCAGTCGATGGTACCTGCTGGTTACTTGATGGGATGGGGCAGAACACATGTTAGATATAGTTTGTGGTTAGTTTATAGAGCACTTTTGAAAGTATTTCTGCTCTAATCTGCCATCTAAATATGAATAATGGCTGAGTTAATCTCGTGCTATGGTTAAGTGGTTGCTACCGTACAAAGTGGGTCTAATTAAAGGCATTGATGCAAACAGCAGACAGTGCTGGTGTAGTCTAAAGAGCACTCAGCTGAGCTGGAGGGTGGAGGGAGGGTTTGTACGGAGGCTGAGAGAATGGACGAACAAAAGCATGAAGTTCAATTAGGGCTAAAGATTTTAGGGTTTCAATATTTTACATCAAAGACACTGGCAAAATTAAGAATGGAGTTTTGAGGGTTGGTGATGGTGCCTCTTATCTTCTGATGTCAAACTAACTCAGGTGAAGAAGATTAGTCAATATGATTGTTTTTTAATACGTTTTATTTAGTAAGCATTAAACGGATCAAAAGGGAAGACAAAGACATCTATAATGTAACAATTTTTTTTTATTTTAAATAAATGCTGTTCTGTCATGACAACACTTGCAGAGTGTTAAGCATGGTAATGTTAATGTGTTTGGTCTTGACGGAATAGATCTTCTATGCAGCTGCTGCTGCCAGACTTCCTACTGCCAATACATCTACAGACATGCAGCTGTGGGCATGTAAGACATACTGCTGCTGCACAAAAAACATGAAATTAACCCCTCATATATATCATATATGGAATCACCCCGTAGCAGATCTATACAGGTGGAGCTGGGGAAGGTGGAAGTTTCTGAACTGCGCCAGCAAGCACTAGCCAAGTAATTGTATGTAGAGCAGCAGCTCATTGGCTGCTGATACAAAAAAAACAATCAGCTGTGCCAAGTGAATGAAGATGTGATTATATCAGATTGAGTTAAAACCTATTGGCCTGCACCATCATGACAGAGTTTCATTAACTTTTTGAACTTTCTATTCATCAAATAATCCTGAAAAAAAGTATCATGGTTTCCACAAAAATATTAAGCAGCACAACAGTTTTCAACATTGATAATAATAAGAAATGTTTCTTGAGCAGCAAATCAGCATATTAGAATGATTTATGAAGAATCATGTGACACTGAAGACTGGAGTAATGATGCTGAAAATTCTACTTTGAATCACAGGAATAAATTACATATTAACATATATTAAAATAGAAAAGTTTTAATTTAAATTGTAATAATATTTTACAATATTGCTGTTTTACTGTAGTTTTGATTAGCCTTCGTAAGCATAAGATACTTAAAACTTAAAAAGTCTATGGGATTTTTGCACATTTAAGCATCTGTCAAGAGAAATCATAAGTCTGATTGCTTAGAAAAGTAAAAACACATCTCTTCATCAAGCCACATGATTTAAACATCCCCTTTCTCAAATCAGGCTGTTCTGAGATTCCTGTCAGAATGACGTAGTTCTGCAAAGGCCGCTCCCATGATAGTTGATTGACAAGGCCGTCTTACCTTAGACCCGCCCTGAGTTAGCTGTCATCAGTCCGCCATTGTGTCGACTCCGGTGCAGGGGAGACAGGGATGTCTCTGATTAAGCGATTGAGGTGTTTTGTTGTTAGATGTAATAATGAACATAGCAGTCGTTAGTTACTCCCGACATCTGAGCCGCTGAAAACGCAGAGGATTAATGTTACGTTCGTTTTTGAAGGGAATGCGCCGATCCCCGATCTGCGTTAATGCGTCTATGTTCGCGCGAATCATTTGTGATTCAGCTTCATCTACAGAAGTAGTGAGTATAAGGGTTTTTTATGAACCTCTGCAAATCGCGTTTCCTAATAATGTGCTAGTTAGCAAGTTTTGCGGCTAAAGTTCACAGTCTGCTCGTCACTCCACGGAAGAGAGGGGTGGGGTCAGCAGAGCTCATTAGCATTTAAAGCAACATTCAACAAAACGGCTTGCTCTGAAAGGAGCTGTTTTTGGCATGGTAAAATTGAGGTGTTTTGTTGTTAGATGTAATAATGAACATAGCAGTCGTTAGTTACTCCCGACATCTGAGCCGCTGAAAACGCAGAGGATTAATGTTACGTTCGTTTTTGAAGGGAATGCGCCGATCCCCGATCTGCCTTAATGCGTCTATGTTCGCGCGAATCATTTGTGATTCAGCTTCATCTACAGAAGTAGTGAGTATAAGGGTTTTTTAAAGGGCTGAAGTTCACAGTCTGCTCGTCACTCCACGGAAGAGAGGGGTGGGGTCAGCAGAGCTCATTAGCATTTAAAGCAACATTCAACAAAACGGCTTGCTCTGAAAGGAGCTGTTTTTGGCATGGTAAAAAGGGTGTTTTTTTTACACTACCATTGAGAAATTTTAACCAAAGTATGTTATAGACTTTCATTAAGACCCTAAAGAATCATATCAACTTGTGGAAAATGGGCATCCGATGACCCCTTTAATAATGTTTAAAACAGTTGTAAAGCTTGAAATTTATGTGGAAACCATGGTACGTTTTCATGATTCTTTGATGAATAGAAAGTTCAAAAGAACAGTGTTTATTTGAAATGACATTATTGAAGGTCTTTGCTGTCAATTTAATGCATTCTTGCTGAATAAAAGTATTAAAATTATTAAGATATCTTTCTTGTCTGTAACTCAAACTTTGCAGGATGAGTTACACACCAAACCCTAATAGATAAGGGTGAGCGTGATATGACCAAGTACAACATGTCCCTGGATCAACATCCTTGTTGATCCTGGAACATCATTCCAATAAACCAATCAGAACTGAGAGATAACTTTTCTGGAAATGTCAGTTTTAGCCTTACAATCAGGATTAGGTGCTTCTACACCCTTGTTAATCAGCTATAATTTCCCTCTGATTTTAGAAATAAATTATGGGTAAGGTTAGGTTTAGGGGTAGGGATTGGGTTAAGTCTGTGTTTTTGGACAGTAATGTTGATCCAGGAACATGTCTTACTTGGCAAAATCACGGCGACCAATAGATAAGGGTTAAGAGTTTGTTCAAATCACCAAGTTTGCCATAGTAAGTACCACTAATAGTTTAGAAACAACAGAACTCATGACGTGTGTATGTTTATGTGTGTGTTTACCTCCCAGCCCTCAATATGAGACTGCCAGTCTTCCAGCACCTCCAGCTTCTCCATCTGCCTTTTGGCCTCATTAATACTGGAGCAAACGGCTTTCATCACCTGCAGTGACTCCTGCACCATCAAGTAGTCGTTGTGTTTCTTTGGGGTTCTTTTGAGCAGCTCCTAAACATCCACAGAGAACAAAAACATCAAGTGTTACATGCAAAGAAAGTGGTATAATTACAACAAAACATGATTGTATCGTGAATATGTACGACGTGAACTTAACTTTGAAACAAAGCTTGACATTGACTGATGGAATTACCAAATGTTTTTTGAAGAATTATGGCTAAAACTGTGTTTGTGGTATGTTCAATGTTCTTGCTACTGCAAGATGGGGTGTGTTGAGGAAGATGCTAATCTCTAAACCAAGTCTAAACACAAGTGTTCTGCCTCATCAGTTTAATTCTGCCGCTCACATTTACATGTCTAAGATATCTGAGCAACCACAGATGCCTATCGCTGGTATTTAGCGAGAGGGGCCACGGCGGCTCCGACTGTGAGAAGCTCAGTGAATACACCAGAAATGATGGTCTTATTACATGAACTATCGCTTGTGGGTGTTTACAGTAAATGGTTTAAATATCAATGTTTTGGGTTCAAGAACAGCCACGAAACATTAGCAGTGGGCCTGGCAATAGATGAAACTCACAGTGTAAATAATGGCTTGTAAAATCGTTGCTGATTTTACATGTAAATGTACAGTATAATTTGTAACACTCTGACCTTCTACCAAAAACATTTGGAGTTTAGTGTTTTACTGATTTGTATTTGAGCTGTGAGGGTGACAAAATTTCGAGGTCACTGTTTAGTCCTATTTTGAGTAAAAGCACAGTTTGTTTAAGCATATTTCATGAGTTAAATATATTCTGAAACACAGAATAAAAACTTAAATGAGAACTTTGAAAAAGAACACTGATCAAAATAATTTAAGAATTATTTTAACCTCCCAGTTATTGGTGTTAGTCTGGCACCTGGTGCTAATTTCTTTAATTATCTGACAAACCCTATTTAATGGCAGCCCTACTTTCCAGTTTTCTCTGACTTTGCCAGATGGTGAGCAGCCATAGCAAGAGAAGTTGGTCATTCCAAATCTGTGATTTCTAGAATCTTGTATCTTTACAATGTCACTTAGTCATTCAAGACCCCCAAAACGGCTGGTCGTCTACGGAAGACAAATGCACGAGAGGACAGGATTATGCGGAGAATCTCAATGGGCAATCGGTTCAACACTGCAGCTGGAATTGCTTGCCAGTTCAGTGCTGAACAGGGTCTCGGGCATACAGTGTGTTGACGTTTAAGAGACGTCTGACTGAAAGAGCACTCAGCAGTGACCAAACCTCTCATCAGCAGAAAAAATGAAAAAGCTAAGCTGAGGAGAACTGGTCCAAAGTTCAGTGATGAAAGCAAATCTAATTTATTTCGGTCAGATGGGGAAAATTATATTCGTCATCAAACTGGGGTAAGACTGAACCCAGAGTGCGTAAAGAAGTCAGTGAAAGTTGGAGGAGGAAGTGTCATGATTTGGGAGATGTTTTTTTGCAGTAGGATTTGGGCATCTTCTACAGCTAATGCAAATGCTTATAAGAACCTCCTTCAGCAACATCTTCCCTGCAAGCATCTCCCAATCAGCCTGCAGATTTCTTGCAAGACAATGCCTCTGTCACACAGCAAAACAGGTAAAGCAGGTCCTTGAAGCTAAAAACATTGAAATAATGAAATGGCCGGGCCAGAGTTCTGATCTAAACCCAATTCAAAATCTCTGGAAAATCCTTGGTGACAAAGTTATGGCCAAGAAACCACTACAGTCACCGAACTGTGGGAGAGAGTGGAAGAAGAGTGGACCAAGACCAAACTAGTGATGCCCTATGACCGCAGATGTGCTGAAGTCATTCAAAGCAATGGTCTCTACAATTCCTACTCATTTTTGACTGCTGTAACCTTCAGATACTTTAGTTGCAATCTTTCTTCGTGGTACAATCATTGCTGTTCTCTAATTTTGATCACTGTCTTTTTCCACAAAATAACGATGAAGATTACATTATTTATAAAAACATGAGAATAAAAGACCAGGGACACACATGAGAGACACATGCCGGAGAGATTAGAAACCCACTTGTGCTTGTGTGAATACCTCAGCTTGATAATATCTTACCCTTACTGCATGTCGGACCAGTCTAAAGAAGAAAAACTGTCATTTCTAAACAGTACGTGGAGAACCGTTAGATTAGTGTGCTGGTGATGACATTTCTCATGAATGTGCAGATGTGTATCTGCTGCTCGCTGTGAGGAAACGCTTTCTTTCTCAGATATTATCTTCATCCTCAGACAAATATGGCTGGTTTATTTGGTGTTAACAGCTCTAACTTGTAGATTCCGCCTTTAAGTGTTTATGTAGAAATAAAAGAGTTCCATTTTTGCTGTACTGAAGCAAAAATTATGTTTTTGCCTTCTCAACCTATGATGTCTTGTTCACATCCTGTTCCCATTCCTTTGCTGTCTGTTGTAAGATCTTGGCTGTAATATAAAAGAGGAGTTGAAAGTCCAATAGAATAGTTCAGATTTATCTGTCAGATCCTTTTATGGTAATGATATATTATCTGCAGGACATAAATTGGTCTGAACAGGTTTCAAATTGTATTGCTTTGTGCAACAGGGGGAATGAATACTTGACCTTCTGTTTCCACACGAAAGCCCAGAGGAACATGTTTTTGCTCAGAGAGGCTTCTCAGTTATGTTTCACGTAATTGTCAACTTTGTCTCAGATGTTTCTCCTAGAATTCCTTAGGAGATCATGTGGTCTTGGAAAATTGAATGAAAGATCTCAGACTTTTGATTATACACTATATTAGCAAATCTAAACTTAGAGACAAAAGTCTCTAAATTTAATCTTACTACTGTGTGGTAGAAACAAAGGGATCTCATTTGTCATTTTTCTTTTCTATGAGGACTGTTAAGATCAATTCACACAACTGACACAGACCAGCGCTGACAGCTGACAGAGTACAGTACATAATTTCTCAGACTTTTTAAGATCCAACAAATGCCGATTCAACGCGTTAAATCAGCGAAAACAAGCGCCGAATAATGGCATCAGATACAAACGGGTAACACACTGATCAGACAAAATTCGACAAATGTGTCTGTTGCCTTCGTTGGCATTTGCTGGTGCGGTGTGAATTGACCTTTAAAGAGAAATTTAGTTGTCTGGGGTGCAAAAAATGACATACAGTCCAGCAACAAGTGTCTTACCAGCATAAGCGTGCGTACTGTCCTGATCTTATTGAGCTCCAGCAGAAGCCTCTGGGCTTTCTCATGATTCCCACAGTACTCGTCGTAAATCTGAAACCTTCCTCTCTGAGCCACAAAAACACACAAAGACACAGCCAGTCACATACAGGTGGTCAGCTCTGGTAAGCTCTTTTAAAGCTGCATATGACTAACTATTTCTGAGATTTCACTCCTCATGCCCTTCAGCGTCTCTGAGGTTTTACCCAGAGGCAGAAGGAAGACTGCCAGATTGAATGCTAGCACAACAAAGTAGTGCCTTCATCCCAAAACCACAACACAGCATTGTCATTCAAAGCACCCTTGCAGTGTTCTACCCTCACAAATATAAAACTGAAATTTATATTTAATTAAAATTTTTAATTTTTTATACTGTGTGTATTGTATCCATTTAAAAAAACGCCTCAAACCAGTCTAAGCTTGTTACTTTACCAGCCTCAACTGTTGGCAGATTTTGGAGGGGTTTTGGTCACTTTTCAGCCTGTCAGGCTGAGAGTCCGGCTTAAACCAGCTAAGACCAGCTTAAACCGAGAAGGTTTTTTTTTTCAGCAGGGATGTGGGATGTGTGTAATACAGTGAGAATAAGAGAGAGTGGCAGACAGAGACTTACAAAGTGCAGGAAGCAGCGTCCCACTTCATGATACGGGTTGGGGTCGGGCTGCAGAAGCTCTTCAACCATGGACAGGAAGTCCTTGTGCACAGACAGGATCTCTTCCAGGTTAGAAAACAGCACCTGTGGGCGAATGCATGGAAAGACTGACTTATTGACTGAGAAACATTGTCTGGATCTGGAAAACCAACAATGTGCTGCAAAAACTGAGGAGGAAAATGACTAAAAATGTCTGGAAGTGACTGTAACAGTCCATGCAACTCTCCTTAAAATATATGAATATTTTTAGATTGGACAGAAAAATATCAAACTAATATCTAACTTTAAATAAATATAGCATAAAAAACTGGTAGGTGTCAATGTATTAAACAATAGAAATATAGTTAAAACTTAAGACAATTATTAAGACATTTAGTGTGATATTTCATACCTAATACAATCACAGTCAGACATTTTAAATGTCTCTTAAGTGTCCCAAAACCTTTTGCGACCACTCTATATTAAGATAAGCCAGCTGTGTGCTATATAATCCAGATATTCAATAACTCTGACCTCTGAATGACCTTTGCAGAGCGAGAATCCCACACAAATGTCCTCAAACACTAATGTTCAGACATGCTCTAAAACATGCAAACAGCAGTCTGAGCTTGTTTACATGACTGAGTGTTCAAGCACTCACCGTTCTGTCCCACTGAGTATGCATTGAGTTTACTGTCACGCACCACTAACCATGCTGAATATTTATTGTTTACAACCGTTTGGTTCAGCCAAGCACCTACCCTTAAAGAAATAGTTCCCATTTTGCAAATCATAAATATGCAAATTTTGTAAATTTGCTCACTCTCATGTCTGACATATCATAATTCATCACAAGACATAAAGGAACTTGATTCTTGATGTCACTGATGTCAAACCTGGTGCAACGTTGCTAAGTGAGAACTACGGAAACATATAACAACCTAAATTATGGTCTGTTCCTCACACAAATATATTTATGACAGTAAAAGGCTTACAATATAGTGCACAAGTCGTATGCAGTGTTATTTTAGTATTATTTATGTATTATTATAATTTTTAATATGTTAAATTAGCTTTTTTATTTTTATAATTTTATATTATTTCATATTTTAATTATGTCATGCGTGTTTCTCATTTTTATTAGTTTTTGCTGTTTAAAAAAGAAAATTCTATATCCACCTTATTCCTAAACGCGGAAGTAATTCTATGGGCGAGACTTCCGGTTCATTAGCCGTTATAGGGAAATAACGAGAAGAATAACAACGTGCAGTAAACAGTAAAACTGTTTGCATTACAAACCAGTTTGTTCATAATTAAGATAATACATTAAAATAATAAGGTAAGACACACCAATCTGTAGTATCAAGCAGCAAAAGATTGTTTTTGTACAGCTAAAAATAGTTGGAAGTAGTGTTGTCAAAAGACCCGGTACTTCGGTACCAAGTCGGTACTAAAAAAAATGAAAACGTTACGGTACCAGGTTTTTTTAAGTACCTGTGGTACAGAGTACCCGGGCAACCCGGTTCTTGATGCGCTATCCGAAAGCTATCCTCTTCATAAAAGCACTGAGACATGGTGACCTCAAAAGGAGGAAGCATCAAACTAACTAACAAAATACTTTAAAGACCGACACCTGGATCAAATGAAAGAGTTCAAGCAGGTGAGTATCATTTTAATTTTTAATATTTAGATCTTCTGTTATGAATATTATTCCATATTTTAATTTGAATGTCGGATTTAAATAAACATCGCAGTTAGCGTAGTTAATCGTTAGCATACGTGCGGCTGTTTCCCATACATTGATTTATTTGTGGCACAATATTAAAACTGACCGCCACATATATTTTCCAAAAGGCTTTGACTTCTTAAATAAACATGAGCACAGCACATTTCAAAATCGAAACCTGGTGTGCGTGTTTTTATATCACTGTATTTCTGAAGGAATCCGACTGTCTTCAGAAAATTGTGGATGTCATTTTACCGTATTGACGCGAATATAAGACAATGTTTTTTCTTGGAAATACATCTGAAAAAATGCGGTCGTCTTATATTCAGGGTCTAGACTTTGACATGTCAATAATACACCCACAACAATAGGTGGCGCCAAATACGCATAAAACGTGAAAACGTAATGTAATGCGTGTTGTAAAGATCGCGAATAAAAACAAAAGAAGCAGAAAACCTTACAGCTGCATGAATCGTGACTGTCACGTTAGCCTG